AGCGGTAACGTAACGCTCGCGTAATAGGCGAGTAATCACCCCGCATCCTGGCAGCTATGCGCGGTGACGTCACGAGCGGAGCCGAAGATAGCCGAGCCCCGTAACCGGGTAACTATGCAAGGCGAATCAACAGCGGTGACGTAACAGGATTACGTGGCCGTATTGTCCGATCGAGGCTACATAGGGAGAAGCGAAGGCTATTCACAGTCAGTTGTACTGTAACAGTCGCCGAGTCGAGTTGTACTGAGTCAGTCAGTGAGTCCTGGAGCTACCGCCGAGTTAGCCAGCAACTAGTCAGTTGTATTGTGGCATTTGGAGTGTACTAATTGTGATACTGCAGATAGCAGTAATCGTAAATCTGTAATTTGGGTGATTGTGAGAGCGGATGTGAAATAAAATTCGCTATATAAAATACGGCGTGAAGTTATTTGTCGCGATATACAGCCGATACGCGACAATACAAATTCCTACCTCAGACGAGAATCGAACTCTGTTACTGAGGCCGTCCACCTAGTTGTCTACTCAGTACTTGCCCCACAGTTTGAGAAACGCTGGTGTATATCGATCATGGAGTTGTGTCCGTGTGTTCTCAGGTAGACAGCCTTCAGGAGCCTCCCCCGCACAGGCTCATTACGGCCGATAATGTATCTTCATTTTTCACTTCCCTTTGAAGTTGGCCGTGTGCTGAGTGAAGCTGCGAGGTTGATATTAATTAACTTGAAACGCTACTTAAGTGTAAGCTCCCCCCCAAGCGGTCTGTGTGCGAGGTAAGAAGTGAATGTTAATGTGGGACGTGACGCCGACGTTTCGGAGGTACCTGCTGCCTGACGTATCCTCAGGTACCGAAGTCTCTGGGATAGATCTGTATTGTTTCCTTCCCTTCTAATTCTCTCCTTTCCTTGTTTTTTGTTTCTTTCTACCGTTTTTCTATTGCGTTATTTTATTTCTTCCTTATGTCATGTTTTGTTTTATTGGTTCTTCTGTTATTTTTATCTCTTTGTTTCATTGGTTTGTTGTTTGTTCCGTTCTTCCTTTGATTTCTTTGGTTCATCTCATGGTTTGGGTCATTTTTAGCATTTTCTGTTAAACGCATTTCGAAGCGACATGTGTGTCCTTGAATAATGAGAGCAGTTCTGTCAGTACAACTGTCGTATACAGTTGAATTAATTGTGTACACTTCCTCTATTATGCAACACGTCTGGGCCTACTGGCCAGCGCCGAGCTGTTGTAGTGTTGCTTAACCCCTGCCTACACTGGTCGCTGTTTACAGATGTATGGTGTAGTTATTGGTGAACTGTTCAGCTGCACCGGCTCTGCCACATGTTGCCGCAGCTTCATGTATGACATGACGTCAGCAGTTATTACAGCACCACAACACCCTCTTACACCCCTGTTTCAGATTCTACATTTTAGTGTAGCTTTTAACCCTTTAGAGACTTAGAGCCATAGACACTTTACAACTGGCGGCCAGTCAGTTCGCCTTGGCGTCAGGCCTCTTGAGGACCACGACCATATTTTTTTTCCAACTGAACCCTTGCGGTCAAAGTCCTTATGTAACATCCTCTCTGACGAGAAGATGGGTTTGATATAGCATGTTATTGAAAAAGTATTCCCTTTGCACTACGTACAATAAAGACTGAATTCTTCTAAATAAGATATAGGGATTCAGTTCGTACCTCACAGGAAACACATTACGTCTCCACTACAGAGACCAACCGGTTAATGCTGTTTGGGGAAACAGTCGCTGTTTATTGTGAGAACCATACGGAACACACAAATACACTGCGTGGCCAGAATGCAGAGACTTTATATATAAGAATTCAGTCCATACTTCACAGGAAACACATTACGTCCCCGCTACAGAGCCCAACCGGTTAATGCTGTTTGGGGAAACAGTCGCTGTTTATTTTGAGAATCATACGGAACACACAAATACGAGTACACTGTGCGGGCAGAATGCAGAGTTTTGGTATGCCAAAGCAGGTGACACATATAGTAGCCACTGGACTTAATTGGCTAAAGTCATAGGGACTGCGCTACATGCACTCGTAATCCGATCATAGCATCCAGTATCGATTAGATACAAAATATAGATTTTAGTCAGTACGCTTTGTGGTTCCCACAGAGGATTATGTGTTCCGGGATATAACGTTGTGTAGTACGTTGAAAGTGGATGTTTCGGAGATACATGTCTCCTCAATCTTCAGTCTGTGAATAAGCTCTGCGAGTTTCACGCTGTTTTCTTGCTTGTTTATTCTTAATCCCCGAAGATTGAGGGAATATGTTAACCTCGAAGCACCCTTTGACTTTCAGTAGACTACCCAGCGGTAGTGTAATTGGTTGAGGCACTGTACTACAAGCCAGCAGGTCGCGAGTTCTATTCCCGATGAGGTCATTGAATTTGTTCAAATTGCCTAATCCTTCCAGCCGCATTATGGCCCTAGGGTCGCCCAGGCTCCAACAGAAAGGAGTACCAAGAATCTTCCTGGGGTTGATCGCTGTCGGCGCCTAAGGCTGACAGCATTACCGCCAATTGTCAGCCGATTGTCTAGAGAAAATGTGGGAGCCTCGATGTCTCACACCCCTATGGGCCTCCGCTACCTGTTACGGGGATACATTTACCTTTTCTACCCAGCGTTGTATCTTAGAAGACGGAACTCTTCTTAAAGTTTTAGGAAGATCTGGGTAAGATTTTCTATGAAAATGACACGGAAACTATTGGCAGATCCATCTACCCGCAAAATTAGTACTGCATATTTGCAATCAGCGCATGCGCACATAATCTCGCGCAACATCATTTTATTGCGTAGAGAAGTTAAATAATATCGCCCGCTCCCAACACAGCAGTGCACAGAACTGAAGAACACATGCACTTCTTTATGTAAGCATAACACATTGAGCGGAGAGGAAGCCAAAATTGGCATACAGAGACACTGCTTCATGTGGCTACATGAGTGTGCTTGAATTTGGACAGCCCTGGCGTGGTGGAACTCTGCAGTTTAATTTTGAGCAAGAGATATATGAAGTTTATTTATGCTTTTGCTTTTATGTTCGCAAGCCTGACGCATTGCTGCCAAATTAAACATGTCCCTGTAGTGGGTCGCCCAGTTAGGTAGCCGTCACATGTGTCAGGCCCGCCAAACTTTCTGATGTCAAACAACTTTATGGACATCGCTTTTTATACCGTGACAAGCTGGCAACAATCTCCGCTCTAAACATAGTTTATATATACACTCCTATATGTAGATATATAGTTCATATTCTCTCTAAAATTCTGTAAGGCGCCGTTGTCAAAAGTTGTGAAAGAGTTTCTCTTTACTAAAATACTGTAATATCCGTTAACATTACCACGGAAAGTCACATCATTAGTTATATAAGCTTTCGAAGAATTAACTTTCTCTTCTTTCTGCCGTGTTTCTTCCCATTCTTTCATGTTATCGAATTATAGCGTCCAGGCCTATTTTTAACGCCATCTCCCACGAATAGCACATATATAGTCAATCACGATACGTCTCCTTTATACGATATTTTTTTAATTCGCTTAGTGGGGGGAGGAGTCCATCTGGGTGCACTCGGCATGGCGGCCACTGATTGGCCTACTGTAGCCTGCCCCGTGTCATTATGATGATGGACAATTTGGTGGAATGATATGTACGGTACACTAAACCTCATGTATCCGCATGTTGTCACTACTCACACAATAGACGAGGCATGCAGTAGCGTAGTTGGTTGAGGCCCTATGCTACAAGCCGGAAGGTCGCGGATTCTATTGAGGTAATTGCATTTTCCAGTTAACCTAATCCTTCCAGCCGCACTTCGGCCCTGGGCTCGACTCAGCCTCTAAGAGACACGAGTACCAGGAATCTTCTTGGGACGGTTCGTGCCGACGAGTTATATAGAGGATAATTGTTGCGACTTAGTTCTGCACGGGAGTCTGTGAAGAGAGGACTTGAGCCTGGAGGCAGAGGAATAGCCATTGTTGGACCCGTTACCAGGAAACGTCTAGTAACAGACTGAGAACACTAGACTGTGCTGTAGTTAACCGTAAAGCGTTGAAATAACGATAATGATTGTAGTTACAACGTGTAAATCTGTTCACCTGTCCGAACCCCGTCTATAGTCACGTACGCACTACACATGACAATGTTGAATAACGAGTAGCTTATGATTAAGGAGGGTGAGATGAGCGGGACGTGTAGAACGCATATTGGACTTGAAACACACGCATTTTAATGGCGAAATGTGGAACATCTGGGCATCAAGTGGGGTAACATTGAAACAGATCTTAGAGCAGTGGGACTTGAGGTTGTGTACTGGATTCAACCGGCTCAGCATAGGGCCCAGCAACAGGTTGGTATGAACATGGCAATGCAATATCGGGTATTATATACAAGGCATGCAATATCGTGACCAGCTGAGGTACTGTTAGCTTCTCAGTAGGTGGTTGTGCAGCGTGTTTTCAATAAATTCAGTGTATAACGATCCTGTCTGTTTCTGTTTGCAGTACGTCGGGACGCTTGACGTACCGAGGCCCACCAGCCGCGTCGAGATCGTCGCTGCCATGCGCCGTATACGGGTGAGTGTGGGGATTCACATGTAGCAGTAAGCGTTTGCATCTTGGTCTTCCCATGTGTTGTTGGAGATATATTAATCTCTGGTATCGAGGTTAACTTATGTGATGTTATTGTCTGACTAATTCTGTATTGTGTCTAAAACATCTCTGAGGTTACGTCACACCTCGCGCAGGCAACCTTACGGAAGAAAAGTCCCTGTTTGTTCAACGAGATCTCCGGTATATGGAGTCTGGTTCCCATCATACAGGATGATTCGAAATTATTGTTGGGGTTTCAGTGGCCTATAATTTTCAAACCAGAAACAACAAAATGAGACCGCTTACGGAATATGAAAATGTAACTGAAAAAGTTTTATTATATATAGTAGAATCAATACTGCAGAATGCTAAACAACTTTAACATTTGCACCATTTTGTGGCACCTAAAATTTCAAATTATAGGCCACGGAAACCCCGACAATAATTTGGAATTACATTGTGCGTTGAAAATAAAATCTAGTGACTAACGATGGCGTAAATAAGTGAGTAGCCGCTCGTGACGTAACGCCAGATGTGCTGTAGGCAGTTATTTCTCGCTTTCCTACACCCCTTGCATTTAATAAAGAAGACACACTGAATGCATGGTGCGCTTGGAACACATGTACACCAACCTCTGGAGAGAACTGTATAATGAAGATATCCATGTACATTTACCAAATATAATTAAAATGATAAAAAATTGAATGGATGACGTATGTATCACGCAGGAATAATAAGAAAACTGCGTAGGTTTGATAAGACGAAAGGGTGAGACCATTTGGCAGACCTAGACGTAGATGTGAGTTTCATATTGAAATGTATATTAAATATACTGAATTGGAAGCTGTGGACTGGATTCATCTGGCTCATGGTAGTGTAATGTGGACTGCCAGAGCGTTCCTAAGCAACAACTCGTTAAACCAACAATAGAGAGACTGTTTCTGTGGGGTCCGCGCCGCGACCGTTGTTATGCAATAGTTCGGTAAACACGTTTCAACAATATAAGACGGTGTTTTCCGTGGGACCCGTGCAAAGGAGTTATCTTAAACGGCGCTACGGTTCAGTACTGAGTTCTGAGCTTTCATCGTAGGAGGCAGCCACAGAAAATGCGTCATTAGTAGGCTTCATTCATGTGTGATTCAGTGAGACTGTTGTAGTTCCTGCGTTTCAGTTGCGGCACCAGGAGAGGACCAGTGTGTGTGTGCAAATCAGGGAAAGCGCTGTATTTAAATGTGATTACGAGAGATTGTAACTAAGGTGCTAATTGGCCGCGCCATAGCTCAAGCGGTTAGTCGCTGGCTTCCCACCGTGGCGGCCCGGGTTCGATCCCGGGTCTGGTCAAGTGAAATTTGTAGTGGACAAAGTGGCGCTGGGGCAGGTTTTCTCCGAGTACCTCTGTTTCCCCTGCCAATCTTCATTCCACCAATTGCTCCACAATCACCCTCACCTGTCATCCGGGGCTGGTACAATACGCCAGAAGTTTCCGCAGTACAAGGGACTTAGTCCCCCCCCCCCCACTAGCAATAACAAAAGGTGCCAGTAAATCCAATCACCCGAACTACAGTCCTCCATTCTCGTCACGCGTACCAACCTACACGTGACAGTGGGTTACATTTGGAGGGGCTGTTGTGAACAGGGTAATGAACCTTCAAATTCTTGTGAAATGATGCTAGTTCATTGACCATATGAGCAACTGTCAGCTTTTGAAGGACTCCGATCTGTGTAAATTGATTAATTGTGCTATATAGTCACTTGTGGCGATAAATCGATTATCGTCATTTGATGTGGTTTTAATCTTCCGCGCTGAGGCGTGTTAATATCGTTGCTATCGATTAGTCGCCGGAAGCTAGCGTCGCTTGGGCGCTATCGATAGGAGCCTATGAACTGAATTGAAACAGTCTCTCTGTTGCACTGATTAGCTTCCCTTTGTCTTCTGAACTGTAGGCAGGAAGTAAAGAAAATTGTGATTGATCTGGGAAGCGGAAAATTGCCAATTTAAATAATGTTCTGTGTGGCTTCATTAATAAATCGCATGTTGTGCAGCGCGAGGTGGGAACAACACGCTGTGCGCTGTCATTAAGATCTGGTGACTGCGCTGTTCGCCCTTTGAAGCCAGGGCAGAGGAGGTCACTGTCGGAAATCTTTACTAAAATCTCAGAAGAAAACAGCGTGACTCAATTTTATCATTCTGACCTGAAAGCAGTGCCATTAGATTTGTACGAAACGTTGGTGGATATCTACCAGACTACACGGCATCACACCAATTAGCGGTATCGCTCTGGACTCGTATTTAGGATGTTCTTGCTTCGAATCTCGGTTATAGAACACCATATCTCACATAGATGCATGACAATTGTTGCTGAAAAAGGAATCATAATTGTCACACTCGCTCGCTGACTCACTCCTTGAAAAGCCCAGTGTTCATTATCGCGTTCACAAGAGCCCCCCCCCCAAAAAAATTGTTTCAATCCAGTCCCACACCCACCTACATGCGGCAAACTCTGGCTAATCTGGATCCAAATATTAAAAATCTGTTCACAGTTGAGTTTATGCTTTAAGAAAACGTGGTATTTAGGAAGGCAGACGAGTCACTTGTCTCTTCAGACAAAGCTTGACACAGTTTCCTCAAACCTGCAGTGTTACGTTAAAAACAAGTGCAAATTTTGAGTCGTCTATTGATGAATAAATGTATTGGTTTTTTTTATACTTTTTAAAGAAAGGCTCTATTTTCATATATCATATCACTTATATCATGGGATTTTCGATTTATTTGCATTTCAAGTGATTTTGTCTTTTAGGGCTACCTTTTGCCTCACAAATCCGGATTATCTTGGTAACTAGGATTCCCCGAATATAATCTGCACTTCATTACTTCGTGAACGTAGCACGGGACGAAGCAATTTGCTTCGGGGTTAACGAGTCCTTTGTTTCGGAGTATCCATTTCCTCATCGCCGTAACAGCAAGAGGATCTCCCCTAAGCAGATGACTGACATAGCGAGGACAATAAGTACAGGCCGTATTTTTTCACCTGGCCTCTGGTTTGCGCATAAGGAGAAGTGAGGGGAAGCATAGAAAGCAGTAGTGGTGCAATGATTTCGCAGCTGTATTGTGTGAGGGAGGGTGACGTGCTGGAACTAGGGCCTTGCTGTAACGCATGCGCAACCTACATTCCTTATCCTAGTTGACTCGACCCAATCCACTGCGCATTCTGTTGACAGCGGCCAGGTCTATAAACACAGACAGGACATAAGGGGTAAGTGCGACGTATCTTGGCCTATATCTAAGCAAGGCTTGTCACTGTGGTGAGTGTGTGACTATGTCTGTAACGCCATGTAGTTCGGAGAGCTCAGCTTCCCACCTGCTTCTTATCTTTTATACACTGAAGATGGAGGCGATATGTTGCTCCGAAACATCGGACTCTTTCCGAAGGTACTCGGCCTTACTCATATTTTGTGATATCACGTAGTTATGATATAACCAGAAATTGGTAGCAGTGAGCTGCAATGTTTCTGTTGATATTACAGTGTCTGCCTTTATCGATAAGAGGTGCTTCCCCAGACCAATGTTTCTCGGCGTCCCTTCTTTGAGGAATCAATTTTTTTACATCCATCTCTTCAGTTTCAACTCTCACACATCATTCTCTACATCTTGGAGCCATGCCGATCTGCATTTTGCCACAGTTCTACTTTCCGTCCTGCTTTTTCGGAAGCAGTCAGTTTGCAGTTTTCGCTTACTGGAGATTTTTGTCTTTTGTTTCAGTACGAATTTAAGGCGAAAGGAATCAAGAAGAAGAAAGTGACAGTGGAAGTGTCCGTGGACGGTGTCAGAGTGACTCTGAGGAAGAAGAGAAAGGTTAGTATGGGGAGTCGTCAAGTCTGTTTAGTTACCCGCAGTAGTGCACACCCCCACGCCATCTGTACGCCAGTTACGGAAGCTGTGCAACCGTGTAAATGTTAATTAAGCACCAAGCCATGACGATGTATGTGGGAGTGCCTGTGTAGAGCCATTTACTCCTATCCTCTTTACTTGATGGAGGTGAGAGGTTAGATTCACACCCCGGCCGTTTCACCCCTGTGCAAGAGGTACCCGTTACCCACTGGGTGTGACAGCCAATGTGGACGCTGTGGAATAGAAAGAAATCTCTTACTGCTCCCGGGAAACGAACCACTATTCCTCGAACGTCCAGCCTGTAGACTGAACCAGTCGCTATACCGACTGAGATAGGTACCAAAGTTTCTGACGAATATATTGCCTCCATCGTCAGGGTAAAAGAAGTAGGGAACATGGCAGATATTTGCCAACAGTTCTGAAGAACCTACTAACAGGTTCCTCCTGAACGTCTACCAAACTGCACGACGTCATATCCCAGAGAACCATATTCCTAACTGACTTCGCGTGCGGTGGTGAGGAAAGAGCGCGTGATAATTGTGCGGCCACTGGTTATGAATTGTTTGTGTTACGTCAGTGAATCTGTCTCGTCCCCTCGGCCTCTGTCGCTCTTACAGCCCACTTCAATCTCGTTAAGTGCCCGCGCTTTGAGTGGGTCGCAAACCACCGCCAGCAAAAGGACAAACGGCCGGCCGGTCCCATGGGTAGCGCACCTCGCAGACACGAGGACACGAGTCCCGGCGAACAGAAGCAGAGAGTTGCGGACGTAACTCGTAGACCGCTGCAGTATGGTGAGTCGGATATGAGCTAGATGACTGAATTCGATTCCCGGTAGAGGCAAGAGATTTCTCTTCACAACTTCACGAGTCTGTTTCTTGGACCCACCTAGCGCTGTTTCTATCCAGTGGGCAGGTTGGGCTTTCCGAAGGAGTATCTCTGCCGGAGCGTGAAGCTGACCACTCACTTGCGCCTAGTGCCTAGATGAAGAACGTATGGGGCTGTACCTCAACTCCCCACATACATCATCATGGCGTGGCGCTTAGTTAATTAAGCACAGCAGTGACTTCACCTCTACATAAGTGACTAAGCTACCGGAGTTCGATTCCCGGCAAGGACAAGAGACTTTTCTCCATAGCGTCCAGACCGTCTGTAGGGCTTGTTTTTTTATTGCCAGTAGGGTGGGGCGAAGTCCCTTGTACTGCGACCACTTCTGGCCTATTGCACCAGCCCCAGATGATAGGTGAGGGTGATTGTGGAGCAATTGGTGGAATGAAGATTGGCAGGGGAAAACGAAGTACTCGTAGAAATTTTCATCGCCTACGACTCGCAGGGCTACGGTGGAGGTGTGCGTATCCAATTCGGCGTGGGGAATCCCAAGAATTAGTCGTGGGATGTCTCTATTTAATCAACGTCCTAGCGTCGTATTGTAGAGCAGGAGGCCGCTGGCTTTGAATGTTTCAAATAGAACTCAGCGCGTGCCACTTGTCTCACGGGCCCCAGTTTTGAAACCATTGGCCTGTAGCGTGATGACAGGGGAATTACCTGTATACATATAATAACAAATAATCCCTTTGCTCTAACTTCTGTTCATCGTATCCACGTTCCGGAAGCCAGCAGTACGTAAATAATACGTTTATTGATGTTCATTGGCGTTGCCATGACAACCGAACAAACACAGGAACCGTGTCTTCACACCAGGAGCAGCACTGTAGCATCTGTCGTTATTTCCGAGCAAACATATAATTCCATGCGTTTGTTTGCAGTGCAGGTGTTTTATTTAATATCTGACTGCAGTTCGAGGCGCCATGGAAGGCTCCGTTAAAGCAGATGACATCTGTATCGGAGCCCGCTTTCTGGCCTCTGCCTCTCTCAGTATTACGTCACAGTGACCACTTCTGTTTGGTATTAGTGAGGTCACAGGTTCACCTCTTCAAACGTTCTCTTACATTGTGGACAGAATGTCTCGTACGCGATTACAAACGGTTTCGAAGGAAAACAATGCTTCTGTCTTCAGGGTAGAAGTATTTATGCGTTAGTAGATACATAGCAACCGATCACAGTGCCCACGCGGTCTATGGCATGAACTGTTTTCGCTCGCTTGAACGCGGGAATCGTGGGTTCAAATTCCACCCAAGGTCTGGGTGCCTGTATGGGTTTATTCAGTGTTTATGATGTTCTGCGTGTATGTAGCGGCCTTGCGACGAGCTGATCCCCCTTCCAAGGAGTTCCACCGTCTGTGTGCAAAAGAAGAGGCCAGGGCCCAACAAAGGGCTGTAGAGCCATTGACATAGCATTATGGCGTGTGGGCTCATTGCTAAGCAGTGACAGCGAAACGAGGAACTGTAACGGCCCGTAAACAGTGACAAAGGAACGGTGTTTTCTGTGCGGTCCGTGCCGAGATGTTATAAGCATGACAAGTTAGGAGTTGCAGTTGGTTGATGACTTAAGAGTTGTAGGCGGGAGACCTCTGTAACCTGGCTGAAGGAGAACGTCCGACGTTGGAAACCGCTACCAAGCAACGGCTAATGAAGACTATCAGACTGAGGAGACATAGTGTGTCCTGTAGTGAACTGTGAAGTGTGTAGAACAGTGAGAGCATGATCATTACTTGTAGTTACGATTTGTGGGAGTTAAACTAATCCGACCATCAGTCCAACCCCCGTCTGTAGTCACTGTCACGTGACAGTTTGGGAACATTCGGTGTCCTAGCAGCGGCGCTTTGACAACACACCGGTTCTGCATACAGTTAATAAAGTTATAACGAGTTTTGTGCAGTACTTTCTTGCATCCCGTACCGTGTCCATGGCAACAGCAGCAGGGGGAAACATTTGAAAGTGTCGGTTGGGTTGAGGCATGAATTCTAAAGCAGACTTAAATTCTAGAAGTAGCGCTGCAAACAGAATTCAAACTTTAAATGGAGCAACTCAGACATCTGAAGAACAGAGACAGTCAGCTTTCCTCTGTGCAGCCATGCGACAGTCCTGTCCTTCAATCTCTGTGTACTTTTTTTTTTTGTCAGTAAAACTAGAAGCAGCTCCGTTCGTATTGAAGTTAGCCCCCGGAGAAAGTTGGTGCAAGTCGTAACAGTTCTAACTTATGTTTAGGAGATATCGGGTTTGAATCCCGGTCGTGACGCTATCCAGATTCAGATCTTTCGTGGTTTTCCTCATTTTCTCGAAGTAAATACGGGGGTTAAAGTAAAAAATGTATCCGTAAACGGCAAAGTTATTCCTGTACTTAATTAAACAGGCACTGTGTCATGAAGACGTATGGGTGAGTGGAGGTATATCTCCACCATTATTAACCTGTGCAGTAGAAAGAGTTGAATCGTGAGCTTCACTCCCTTGCCGCTTTGCCTCCAGGGAAATGTCCCCTGGCACCCACAAGTTAGGAGGTTGGGTGGGCCCCAGAGCCGGTCTGGACCCTGTGGAGCAGAGAAAAATCTCTTGCCCCTACCGGGAATCGAACCCGGACAGTCTAGCCCCTATCCCTCCACTATACCAACAGAACTAGCCGGGCTGTATGTTTAATTGACTAAGGAGTACGCTGTGAAGACGTATGGAGGGGTGGAGGTATGACTGCATTGTTGACGTGGGCACTAAATTGAGGTGAGTGATGAGCTTCACGCTGTGGCTGCTTTATCCTGTTGTATATAAGACAGAGCCGGTATTTTGGACATTATGGAGAAGAGGTGTGTTGTCAGTGACGGGAATCGAACCCGAATTCCTCGGCCGAGCAGCTTCTAACCAGTGGTTATGACAGCTTACCTCTCCCAGCACCGCAAATTAATCAGTTCACTTAGTGTCTCAGTAGATATTGAGCTGACTGATGTTTAATGTCGTCCGTTTGTTTTGTTTCAGAAAAAGCAATGGATGGACGAAAATAGCCTGCTGCTTATGCAACACCCGATATACAGGTCAGTGGACAAGTGTCTTCGCATTTTCCTGCCCGGAAAATTTGTTTGGATTTTATGAAGAAGATCTGAAAGATAGATGCTTACATTTTTGCGTACCTGTAATTGTGTTCTGTGTTATGATACCGTGTAGTCTGGTATCAACATTTTGGCGATGGCACAGTCACCAGAGGAGGGCGTGTCTTATGTCAGAATGTGTCATAAGGAAGTTGGTTCTGGGTTTGTGACGCGAATTTTCTCTTGTAGGTCTCGGTTGCTAGCTATTTCGGTGCGCTGCTCGGCAGTCATGTTCTACAGGGTGTCCTGTTCCGAACGGTTTCCGAGATAAGAGCTGTTTTACTGTATATAGTTCCAGAACTGTTGATAAGAAAGAGATATTACGTTCTGTTTCTAATACCGACATTTATTGTTGAAGTGACAGAGTTGGTACAGTTCACCTAGTGTAATACATTTTTTGCTACATTAATTGCTATAAGAGTACGGAAGTATCCCAAGTATGAAAGTAACTGTGATAGAGTACGGAAGTATCCCAAGTATGAAAGTAACTGTGGAAAGTAACTGTGATAGAGTACAGAAGTATCCCAGGTATGAAAGTAACTGTTACAATTTGTAAAGGTACAACAAGTATGAACGTAATAATGAAAAACTATGAAAATAATTAAAAAAATCATGGAAGTAACAAAGTAGGAGGCAAAAATGAAAAGCATGGAAGTAACATATTTTATTTAATTCGCTTAGTGGGGGGTGGAGTCCAGCTGGGTCCACTCGGCACGGCGGCCACTGATTGGCCTATTGTAGCCTGCTCCGGGTGATTATGATGATGGAGAATTTGGTGGAGTGAAGATTGGCAGGGAAACCCGAAGTACTCGGAGAGACCCCGCCCCAGCGCCACTTTATCAGACCCGGGATCGAACCCGGGCCGCCGCAGTGGGAAACCAGCGAATAACCGCTTGAGCTATGGCGCGGCCCACCTCCCAATACCGGCTGGAGTTTCCCCCGATGAGCCTGAAGAAACCACGAATCGGGGTGCTCACCACGGCTAAGGCCAGGTGCAGGAAGTTATTCAGACATGCCCCTGTAGTACCTTAATGACGTCACTACCGCCTCCTTCCATACATCTTCCAGTTCCCTATTCACCAAGCGTACCGTAACTCGCTGCTCTACTCGTGTAGTCTAAAGTTGCATTACGAATAAGAATCGTCTCAAATGTTTCCCTCCTGGGAAGGAGCCCCAGGTAGGGGGCTGTGTGGGCCCCAAAGCCGGCCTGGGGTGTTAGGGTGGGGTGAAGAGAAAGAAATCCTACCAGAAAGTAAACTGGATGAAATTGTAGGTACGCTTAATTGTCTCAGTGAACATAACATGGCTGCGAATTACATGACGTCAGGAATTAACATGGATTGTGGCATGAAAATGGCGCCCAGGGGAAATCACGTGAACGCTTCATAGGTTTCCCTAGCACGCTATTTATTTTTAATAAGAGGACAGCCTCATTGGCCAGCCCCTTTATGACCCTCTTAGGCACCACAGTCCTCTCCAGTTATCCAGTTTATAATATTTATGATTTGTACATAAACATTTACACCACTGTGGTTACTGTGTGTACCGCTTTGAATCCCTTCATTTTGCCCACACAGTGTATTTGTGTGTTCCATATGGTTCTCACAGTGAACACCGACTGTCTCCCCAAACAGCATTAACCGGTTGGGCTCTGTAAGGGAGACAGTTTCCTGTGAGGTACGGGCTGAATTCTTATATATAAAGTCTCTGCATTCTGCCCACACAGTGTATTTGTGTGTTCCATATGGTTCTCACAATAAACAGCGACTGTTTCCCTAAACAGCATTAACCGGTTGGGCTCTGTAAGGGAGACGTAATGTATTTCCTGTGAGGTACGGGCTGAATTCTTATATATAAAGTCTCTGCATTCTGCCCACACAGTGTATTTGTGTGTTCCATATGGTTCTCACAATAAACAGCGACTGTTTCCCTAAACAGCATTAACCGGTTGGGCTCTGTAAGGGAGACGTAATGTATTTCCTGTGAGGTACGGGCTGAATTCTTATATATAAAGTCTCTGCATNACAAAAATCAAATTATATGCTCTATCTTTACCAGAAGGACAAGCGGGCACTGCCTGGGAACCTTCAAAATCTGAAATAGTTTCTTCCCCCCCCCCGCCCCCAATGTAGTGTCTCTCACTACGACCACCACTTCTTCTCTCTCTCTCTCTCTCTCTGCCCACACAGTGTATTTATGTGTACCATGTAGTTCTCACAATAATCATCGATTGTTTCCCCAAACTGCATTAACCGGTTGGGCTTTGTAGCGGAGACGTAATGTGTTTCCTGTGAGGTATGAATTGAGCTTTCGAATACTGTTCAAATGACGGTCGTGCCTCAGTTTGTAACTAGCAGTAACCGCGTCGCAGATACACCTGATTGCCACAAGACAAACATGCAACCTTTTTTTCAAGAGAGCAATAGTACAGGTAGGGACTAATGTTAGGGCTCGCGAAATCAATGCCGGACTGCTGGCTGGAAGTCAGTTTGCATTCGGAAGGTCCTGCGACGGGCCATATCAACGAAAATTTTCCTGGATCCCCACTGGCAGAGCAGGTTCCACTTTACATTGCATATTCCCCTGCCCTAACATCAAAATTAGTCCCTCTCACATGCAGCAAAGCTGCCCGCCTTCTAACAAGGTACACTTCCTGACCCTTTACCCTTCTCACTTCTAATGCATTACTTTCCCTCGAGCATACCTTTACGAGAAGAACGAGCGAGGATTGCATGGGAACTTTCAAAGCCCCCCCCCACCCAGATGTGTCCAACATTGCCCCACCAACCGTCTCTACCCCTCTACTCTTTATGATCCCGCAGAGGGTTAAAGCGCCTTCCAGGGGCTGGATCTCGCCCTTGTCAACAGTAACTTTGTGAGTCAAACTGCACCGGCAGACAAGCAGTTTGGTCCTTTGTCGGGATGTTCCCTGTTCATATACCGGCCGCGATAGTCTGATGTTTTCCTCAACCCGGGGAAAGTGCATGGACAGTACGTGGAATGCCCCTGACCGCGTTTTTTTTATCCCTGCCTCTTCATTGTTCGAATATCGGCTTGTACATGTGCTGTTGTGACTGAGGGTTATGGTGCTTTTCCTCAGTTACCCCCCAAGCAAGTGCCGGTAAAGCATCTCTATTAGGTCACGACCGCGTCCTTCTTAATCCTTTGTAATTCATCTTTCTTTCCAACGCTGTGTAGTCTCAGGGAACTCAGTGCCTTGAGATATAACCGGGTCACCCTCTTCCTGGGGGATATAAATACGGGGATCTTGCTCTCCAGGCTGGGGGAGTCTCGAATCTGAGACAGTAAAATATGGTCATGAGTCCCGCGGGACTTTGACCCAAAACTGACTGCGCTGGCGAGGACCAGCAGCAGTTTTAAACGACAGACCCGTCCTGTCGTCAGAGAGGATGTCACATAAGGATTATAACCCCAAGTGTTCAGGTGGAAAATAAAATTAAATGGTCGTGAGTCTCAAGGGGCTTATCGCCAAGACGAACTGATTGGCTGTAAACGGCCGGTCGCGAAGTAACTCTGACTGTGACTGTTGCTACTGCAGCATTGCAAAGTAACCTGTCACGCAGAGACGGTGAATACTGGAGCTCACGCTCGGCTTTTGTTTGTTTTGGCAGGATATTCTACGTGTCCCACGACTCGCAGGACCTGAAGATCTTCAGTTACATCGCACGAGATGGCGCCAGCAACGTCTTCAAGTGCAACGTCTTCAAGTCCAACAAGAAGGTAAGTAAGTCTGTGTACAGTACAGGACCGGGGGGGGGCGCTTTGGGTGCGGCGAAGCAACGGACGTGAAGAGCATGGCTGACCTCTGTCCATGCATGGAAATGCACAGGAAGTTATGTCACGAAAAAGAAAATAACGTAAAGAAAGCACCACTTGCAAGAGGTGGTCGTGACATACAGGGTAATTCTAAATTATTGTCGGTGTTTCCGTAGTCTATAAACGGAAAACCCCCGACAAAAATTTAGAATCACCCTGTAATATTAAGAACTGGTTTTTACGAAACAGGGTACGAGGATGTGGACTGGATTAATCTGGCGCAAGATGCGAGTTCGGTGACGGGCTGTTTTGAACACAATAACTGATATTGGGTCTGCGTAAAATTGTTGGTGAACTTTTGACCACCTGAGGAAGAATTAGGTTCTGAAAAAAGGGTAATGTTCTGTGAAATAAACTAGCTAGTTACTTTGTTACTATGTTAGTAAAGCAGTAATGTCTGTATTGGGGGGGGCGATCACAGTGGCCGCGCGGTCTAAGGCATGAAATGTCTTCGCCCATTCCAATATTGGGATCGTGTGTTCGAATCCCACCCAAGGCATGAATGTCTGTGTTTATTCTGTGTTTGTGTTAGGTAGCGGCCTTGCGACGGGCTGATCCCCCGTCCTTGGAGTCCTACCGGCTGTATGAGATTAAGAAAATGAAATGAAACGAAGCGTTTCACGGTTGCCCTGTGCTCCAAGTGGTAGCAGCAGGATCAGAAGAAGAAAGTCATGGGAGGAGCCGGGATAGCTCAGTCGGTATAACGACTGGCTACGTGCTGGACGACCGACGGATCGGGGTTCAAGTCCAGGTAGACGCGAGATTTTTCTCTTCATAGCGTCAATTCTGGCTCGGGGCCCACCCAGCCTTTATCCATTGGGTTCCGGAGGGTAAATAGACCGGAGCGTGAAGCTGACGAATCACAATAAATTAAGAGGTCAAGAAAAAGTGGATCTGTGCAGCCACTCCACCATACGTCTTCATGGCAAAGTGCTTAATTAGTTACACACAGGAACACCTTTTTACCTTTGCATGTGTTAAGGGGTATAATGTCTGATGGTTGTAAATGCAGAATTCGCTAATGAATCAGTAATGAGGCGGTGTTGCCGTGCCGTGACGTAAGACGGATACTTGGCGATATGCCGCACAACCTCTTCGCTATTCACGGCCAACTTAATCCTTGTCATTCCATTGAAGTGACGTAATTAAAAATAGCCTTAATTGAATAAAGGGCTTTTAATTATCTTGGGATTTTCTCATCTGGCTATGTCAGATTTTTACTCCATGAAAATCCCATTAACTGTGGTTTGCCTTCCCCATAAACGCCAATATCCATTGTCACAGAAGTTCTTTTGTGTCTCTGGGAATTGAGACCAGAAGAGAGTGAATCTTTGTATGATGAAAATAGTTTATGTTGGCAGGCCTGTCTCATTCGTGACAATGAAATTGGGCTGGTGAACTAAGGGGTTGACGATTCACGACAGAACAATCTCATTTTCTGTAATTCATTGTCTTAATGGATTTCATCATAACGTTCTTTACTTAAATACACTTCCTTCTGTCATTGTGTTTCCACGGTAACGTACCCAAGGGTTTTGCATTGTTGAAAAGCGAAGATTTATTAGCCTTAACTGTCGAGAGATCGCAAGGCGCATTGGTTTTATTCAGCATCTGAAATATCAAAGAAATTAGTACGTCTGAACGAGATATCTTGTTGAAAACCGTTATTATCGCTCCTCATACCTTCTTGGATATAACGCTATGTAGTCCGTTGAAGGTCAACGGACGTTTCGGTGGAATATATCACCTCCATCTTCATGTTCGAATAATAAGTCAAGCAAAAAAGGAGATTGAAGCAGGGAGCGAGCAACCAAGAAAAGTCGGTTGGATTTCAACGGACTGCGTGGCGGTATATCCCAGAAGATAGAACTCTTCCTAACCTACATAATTGATTTAAATATTTAGACCGGTTCTTCAGGTCAAATTCGATGTACACTATTGGGTATATAGCACGTTATACAAGTACACATGCACGCACGTTGGACGAAACGCAGCGCGTAAGCACGACTCGCCCAGTTCGCACCTGTTAAAATGACGGACCTAATTAGGGGCCAGGCTATGTGAGACAATGCAATTAGCAGGCAGTGGAAATTTGTAACAGAGTTACGTTACGGTTTGTCAGAATGAAATTAGATCAACAGGAATGAAAAATGAGGTATTGGACGTATTGATCAAAGTTTATTCAACAGAAGGCAGGCCTGTGAAACGAAACTCGGTTCAGAGGCAAAGGAATGGGTTTAGAGCGAGTCTCTCTCTCTCCTCATGTCGTTGTTAGGTACAGATTTTGCACAAAATGCACCGCAATAAAGAGCATTGCTTCGCAGCATCGCCATGTTTGCAATTGTTAACTTACAGCATTACATGCGTACAGTAACTTGTAGGTACGTTTGTGATCTAGGTAAAAAAATGCAAAAGGTATCCCTGCAGCAGGCCGTGGAGGCCCGTAGGGTTCTGAGACGTCGAAGCTCCCACATTATCTCTAGACAATCGATTCACAGATGGCGGTGAAGTTGTCAGGCTTACGCGCCGGCTGCCCTTTACCTCCAGGAAGATTCCTAGTACTCATTTCTGTTAGAGGCTGAGTCGACCCCAGGACCGTAGTGCGGCTGGAAGGATTACTTCAATTGAATCTAATGTCCTCGTTGGGAATCGAACCCGCGACCTCATGTTTGTAGCATAGCGCCTCAACCAACTACGCTACCTCCTGCCTGTGTCCTGTTAGCTTTCGACGTTACATGTGGAGCTTAAGGCAATTTCCTCGCGGCTCTCATATTCTCTTTGTCTTTCCACAGAAGAAAAGTACCTGCTAAGAAGTTCCATATTTCTCTGAGATTCCTAACATATTATATCTATGTAGGGAGAGAGAAAAGAAAGAAAGTGGGGTGGTAGTGAAAGACACTACATTTTGGAGGAGGGGGGCAAGAAATGGTATCACAGATTTCGAAGGTTCCCAGGCAGTGCCCGCTTGACCTTCTAGTAGAGGTAACGTAAATGATCGGAATTATTTTTATGACGTTGGAAGGGCTGCGTTACAGCGAAATTTGATCTAATATTGGGTGGGCTACATGTGAACCTGGCAGGCCAACGTGCAATTAGGGCAATAACTCAACATTTGCACTAGGAGCGAGGAAAACCACAGAAAACCTTACTCGAGTTTTCCGGTCGCAGGTTCTTGGGATGCAAAATGACTTCTAGCCAACAGCCCGGCACTAAACACGCGAACCCTAACATTAGTCCCTGTCTGCGCTGTTGTTTTATTGGAGAAAGAAGTGTACAGATTTGTTTTTACAGATCTTCTGTGCACAGTTTGGATGAACACCAGGCAGTTGTGTATAACATTTGCGAAAGAATACATGCCTATACGCACATACATGCATACAAATATACATATATTTCAGGAGCCTGAAGCAAGTGAAGCAATTTAATCCTTGCCTCACAGGAAACACATTACGTCTCCGCTACAGAGCCCAAATGGTTAATGCTGTTTGGAGAAACAGTTGCTGTTTGTTGTGAGAACCATACGGAACACATAAATACACTGTGTGGGCAGAATGCAGAGACTTTATATATAAGAATTCATTCCGCACCTCACAGGAAACACATTACGTCTCCGCTACAGAGACCAACCGGTTAATGCTGTTTGGGGAAACAGTCGCTGTTTATTGTTAGAACCATACGGAACACATAAATACACTGTGAGAGGGCAGAATGCAGAGACTTTATATATAAGAATTCATTCCGCACCTCACAGGAAACACATTACGTCTCCGCTACAGAGACCAACCGGTTAATGCTGTTTGGGGAAACAGTCGCTGTTTATTGTGAGAACCATACGGAACACACAAATACACCGTGTTGGAGAAATTAACTTTTTCAATGTCAAAAGAGGTGATATGTACAGTTACTACCATGCTTTAAAGGGCTAAGTGTTCTGGAGTATTCGAATGACGCGGGATGGCGCCTCATATTGCCGTACAGATGTCTGTATTGTGTACAAATGTCCACATGCAGGAGGATCCATCGTATTGGAGAGATTCCAGCAAGTCGACAGCAGTAAAAATCTTTAAATATATTTCGTAACGTTACTGTAAATAACTTGAAAGCAGGATCTGCGAAGTCATGTCGGGGAGGAGAAGAAGAAGACGAACAAAGTTTTAGGAGGAAATAAACAAGTACAAAGTGGAGTAGGTTCTGGCAGAATGGCTGGACATCATTCGGTAATGAATTAAACTGCAAGACAATTGTGTTTGTTATTCGTAAGAATGCTATGCCAGAATTAGAAGCCGTAGGAATTGAGAAACAAAACGGCAACAACCGCGTCTAAATATACAGGACAAAGGGCAGAGATGCTCTCAGTGCAGGGTTCAAGAATGCGGAAGAAATGGAGGGGAATAAGTAAAAGAAAATAGGAGAGAGACAGAAATTGCAAGGGGAGTTTAAAGTGAGTCAAGTTTTGGCTTAGTTGTGAACGCGAACTGTTGGTTGCATTTACAAAACAAGTTGCCGCGTGCTGTCGTGTGAAACAGATCCCGCAGACAAGCGCCCGGACGAGCTGTTGGAACTCACGTCACTTTGCTCAGAACAAATGATTCCGAAAGATCAAAGTGGTCAGACGAGCTATTGCGTATTTGCTATGGCACGTCATGATTGGATAATGACATTCGTCGGTCGTTACGTCATCATCATAAAGTTAGTGAGAAGAGTTACTTTGGGAAATAAGACCGTGTAGTCTGTTGAAAGTCAACCGACGTTTCTGATGAACATATCGCCGTCATCTTCAGGGTTGAAGAATAAGGCACCAGCGTGAATGCAAGTGGAGGGCATTTGCTTTTCACGCTGTGGTATCTTGCTTGTCTGTTTCTCGACCATGAAGATGGAGTCGATGTGTTTCCCCGAATTGTCGG